CAACCTAGAACTAAGGATAAATTTCCTGACAATTAGAACAATTAATCAGTGGAACAACATGCCTCCAGAAGTTGTGAATGCTCCAACACTGGAAGTTTTTAAGAAGAGACTTGACAACCATTTGTCTGAAATGGTATAGGGTTTCCTGCCTGAACAGAGGTTGGACTAGAAAACCTCCAAGGTCCCTTCCAACTATTCTATTCTATTCTATTCTATTCTATTCTATTCTATCCTATCCCATCCCATCCCATCCCATCCTATTCTATTCTATTCCTCAAAGAATCAGCAGTTATGCCCCTTGACCCTTAACCTACAAGATATTTGTATATGTTGAAGCATATACAAATATCTTGTAGGTTTCAAATAGCATTTCTCAAGACTGGTTGTTCAATCTCTTCCCCCCTTCCCCCACCATCCAATCTGCTGTACCGATGGAAGCTATTCATTGCATAATTTCAAAGGTTCTTCTTTTTAAAAATGTATACTGCAAATTTAATTATGTTTGTTTTTTCTATAATGGTGGATTAAGAAAAGCAACATATGAATATGTCCTCCTCCTTTAAATTTTAAACAAACACACCCTTCTTAGAATAGCTGATGAAAAAGGAGAGATCAGGCTGTTTGGGGACTATTCAACAAACAATGGGAACTCCTATCAGTGAATGTCCTAAAGATAACAGCATTTTAACTGAGCCTTCCTATGGTAGTATGCTAGCTAGAATTGTGCCAACCTTCTTTTGCAGCTCAGAGAGATAATTCCAAAATCCATCTCTGATTTTATTATTTATGAGAATCACATTTAAGGTTCAAAAGCAAGGAACGCAGAAACAGCCCATGCAAGCCTATAATATATTTTTCTTACAATTAGCAAGCAAATTTGTAAGTAAATGTTTCCTAGAATAAAACATTTTAGATATTTTAAAAAAATCTTAAAGGAAACATCTACCTGGTTGTACTATATATGAAATTACAGACAGATTTTTCTTGGACAGGCTGCCCCATTTCCATCTGGCAGAATATGCTGTACTCCAAATTCTTCTTCAAGGGAACATCCTCATTCTAATTTAATCAAGTGCAAACTGGAGTTCATGCCAGATGTTCAATCATGAATTAATGTCTCTGTTAGGAATAAAGAACATTGGATAGACAAGAAAGTAAGCAAACATTTGGCTGTGTCCTCCTTCGTTTTAACTTCAATTATCTTAAACTGAATAACAGCTAATTTTAGAATGTGTTTATTTGTGGCTCATCAGGATGATAAAGAGACTTCTGTGAGATAGAGACTTGATTTCCAAATTTTCCAGGTTAGCCTTATTTGACCTGGTGTCTTCCCAATCTGCTATGGCTGATGGCCTTGCTTTCTTGGAATTATGGAACTGACATCCAACTATCAGGAGGCAACCAAATTAGAAAAAAAAGTTATATCTCCTGCATAAAAGATATATGAAAATAAGAAGAGGTCAATCAGTCAGACCAAAAGCCCACCAATTAGTTTGTACAGTTGCCAACCACAAGTCCAGTCATGAGTATGACAGTAATTCGTCTTTTCATATTATCTAGCCTTTCCCAGCATCTGCATTTTCCAGGATTCTTAGCTGGCCAACAGATCAGGACATATTACGTTTGACAAGATTGTCATATAATTCATTAAATAACCAATCATTTGCAGCCAATGCCACATTCTTCCTCTTCTTAGAAAAATTGATCCCAATACAGATGCTGTTGCCATGCTATGGCTTATCTGCTGAGTAAGAGCAGAAAGAAAAATAAGAAAAAGCAGCCGTACAAAGTCTCTCTCTGTTCTTTTCCCAAGGATTTAGACTGGAGATGAGGAAAAGAGCCTTATGGGAGCCAATCTGTCTTTGTACATTTTCTCTGTACTTATCTTTCTCCTTACTCTGTATGACTTTAATATATTTAGATTCATATAATTACATACTAATAAATTAGAATCTGGCATGCTATAAAACAAAACATGCAGCATTATGATCATCTCAAGGCAAGTTACATGGACATTTCTCTTAATATTATCTTCCCAATCTCCCATTCCCTCGAGATAAGTTCTTTCTTAGAACAGACATTATGAAAAAGGCCAAATGTACATTTCATTAGTCGTGATGAATTTGCATCCAGTTTGTTTTAATATCTTCATTCTTTTCTTTTGCTTGCAGGACATTTTGAAATGAGAGATATTAATAATATAAATAGAGTAGTCAAAGGGAAGATGTCTAGTACTTTCTATTTTTGTTCATGTGTTTAGTCAGAATCCATTTTTAGGATATTAAATTGCTGATAGAATATTAAAGTCTTATTTATTTATGCTAGCCCTGATTGTATAACATTTCTTATTTCAAAGGTTATAAAAGTGCAAAGCACTAGAGCAGACATGTCCAACTCACAGCTAGTAATGCAGTTCCACATGTTCGTAAAAACTATTTAAAAATAAAAGATTTATTTATATACATGAACTATATATTTTATATGCAGCCCAACACAATCCTTCATTCAGTGTGGCCCAGGCAAGTCAAAAGGTTGGATAACTATGCACTAGAGCAAGAGGAAGCACAGCTTCAAATACTAGAGGAAAACTGATCATGTTTATGAATAACTTAGCAGAACATTCGCCTTCTATCCCAAATAAGATTGGTAGGTGCTATTACCTGCCTACTTTATTTTGGAATGGAAAAAATGGAATAAAACAGAATACAAAAAGCTTATCCTTAAAAAAATATATAAGCTTGTGCATTTACTTTAGAATAAAACAGTTTGTGCTTCTAGTATGTTGATTTATGGGACTAAATATATTTTAGTTTTGCAATATATTTCAGGAGATATTAAAGAAACATTTGGGCAAAGATTCCTAGGATTTCAACTGCAATATTAATTCCTAAGTTTGAGAGAAAGGAAAATGTAGCCAAGGACCAGGGTAATTTAATTTTATAAATATACATTACATCACAATTTTGTATCTAAGACCAATGAAAGGGGTTGGTTCCTTTCCCACATCCAGAATCACAAGCCAGAAAAAGAATTTTCAATAAAGGTAGAAATAAAGAAATATGAGAATCTCCCCAAAATTGGCCATAGATATTGATGTATCCTCTACCTATGTTCTGCTTTTCTGCCAGTATTTGGGTGGACTGGATGCCTTCTCTCTGCTATAGAGAATGGATCTTCCAAGCCCAACATAACATCTTCCAAGTGGAACCAGTGAGAAAAATGAATGCTATCTTTGAGAATAGGTTCTTACCTCCAGAGGGCCCTTATCATTGGTGGGCACTCATTTTGGACAACTTTCTTGCTAAAAGATGGGCCAATTGACGATAAGAATTAAGCTTGTAATTTTTAATAATGGATAAAAAAGAGAATTATGTGACAGCTCAAAGTCTCCTGGGGAGATGTAGTTGAGCCAAGCTGGCCGAGCTTCCAATGGAATGGGTCATTACTGTTTTATGTTGTGGACTATTTTGATACAAGCCCTGATAGGCCTATAGGTCGAACTGGTGAGACTTTGCAGCTTAAGTGGAGTTATCGGAAAAGAAATTAGGAAAGTATCTGAAACCCAGAGCTCAGGTAGATTTTGCTGGGTGACTGCTCTTTCTCTACTTGGTTTTGCCACTGAGGCAGGAGGAGGATCATCTTCTGGACTACTGAAAAACTGGATTCGCCTTGGGCATAAAGATCAAGTCTAGGTGTAGAATGATGACGTTGGGGGCTAAATGGATGATTTATTCCAAGTCTAGAAAGGGATAAGTGTACTGCACTAGCTGGGGGGATCCCATAATGGATACCAGTAAAGGGTAGATAGACATAGTAGAGAATCTTTTCTTAGGACTCTCATAGTAAAGTAGGTCAAGACACTTTTGTTGCTCAAGTGTTAGGTCCAAGCAGAGCTAAAAACCCTGCATGCATAGAATTTTATCCTTATATAGACTCACCGATAGGAACATTCTGTGTGTACATGTGTTTTGGATGAAGGCTAATCACATTAGTTTATATAAGCAAATAATGGATGCTTGGACTATGGAACTGCTTTTATATTCTAGGTATACTCAATGACCAGCATCTCCATCACAGGTTTCCCATCATCCAAGATTCTTCAATGAGCATGGAATTCTGGAGGTGATTAAATGTTTCTGAAGGTAGTGCTAAGTTCCTGGTGGCAACCCTGGCCTCAGAAATGTCCTGTGGGATAGGTATATTGGGAAGATACCCTCAAGCACCTGGGAGACTGGAGCATAAGATTTCTACAGCAATGATTCACAAGACCTTATAATTAATCAATAATGGCTTCTTTATCACCTCTGCATGTGGCAAAGCTACTACTAACAGAGAACACGTCTGCTGACAATGGTTCTTAACACCAAGTCCATGGCAGATGGATCAGATTCATTTAGGCCTATTCTTGCAGGCGTTCCTGAGTCATTGTAGAAAATCTATTATTTGGGAAGGCCTGGTGGATTCACAATTTGACTATTAGTCCTTTTCCTTATTTAAAGAGTTTTTCCCCCCTCTCCTTACCCCAGCCCCCAACTGACTGATTCTGAGTGTAACATCTAAATCATATGCCACATAAAGACATTTTTATACGCTTGGTGACAGACATTTTGCCTTACACTGTTGATCAAATTGTCATTCCATACAGTGAATAACTGGAGGGGATATGGATATGGAATGGCACTGCTTCCCCTTTCTCATTCCCCTCATGAAGTGCCCTGGCTGGAGAACCTCCCAGGTATTTCCTGCCTTTTTTGTCTCCCTTACGAGCATGAACAATCAGAGGAGCATGCTGATGAATTTAATATTCGCCACCTCCATCTTCTATTGCCAGGAGTTCCAGAAAAAGGGCATTTGAAAGGCTATCCCATGCTCACATGCTTTGGATATCTACACAGCACAATCTGAATTAAACATGAGCTGGCTTTCCAAAAGGAAAAGTTTAATCTACTTCAAACTTTGGAATAATGTTTTAATATCTTTAAAAAGGAACCAAAAAAACCTTTCAAGGCTAAGATTTATTAAAGAGTTTTTATTAGCAATTTTTCACTGGAAAGTTCAGGGTGTGCTAATAGAGGAGGCACATGGGCTTCAGTGTTTGGCACAGGACATTCAACAGAATTGCACTTTTTTGTTATGGTTCGGCTACAATACTCTGAATTTTCAGAGCAAAACTCAGGACCAGCCTCTACCGTAACATTTTCCAAACATTTCCACTCAGTCTGATTCTTTGCTTCTATCCCTGAAGCAGTTTGGGGCAAACCCTGGACACCCTCCATTTGAGCTTGCTTGTTTGGCTTAGATGCAGAACTTTTATTTTCATTCCTGTTCACTTCAGTGATAGTTTTATCTCCTTTGGATCTGTAGTTACTACACAGCCCTACACAGGACAATCTTTGTTCCGTTTCAGAGAGAGGTTTCGTAAGCAATCTTTTGCAGAGGGAGGAGGATGAACCTACTTCATTTGGAAGAATTGCTGAGTTCTCTTCAGTGTCTGGAGGACTGTGGGACTGAAAACAAGGGACTGAGTGGAGAAAAACATTTGAGGGAAGAGAATTTTGAAGCAAGGGTCTTTGGAACCTGCCTTGTAGACAACTACAGTGGAGAACATGCTGGACAGCATTCACATAACCATCAGAAGAATGAAGCAAGGCACTGATGGGAACTAGGGAATTCTGGACTTGTATGTTCCCAGATGAAAGAGAACAGCGATAGCATAATGTTTCATTTCTATGTTGATGCAGACCTGAGCATTTCATGTCTGTACACTGCTGTGGCTCTAAAGAATGACATTGTTCGTTTTGACTCAACAAATGGCAAGTGGGATCCTGCTCACCCAAGGATGACATTGCTGAACCTGATTCGCTGTTAATGTTTACATTCAGTTCTGTGTTATATGTTGAGTGAAGAGTATGTGGGTTTGACAGCCTGCCACTGAAGAGCTCAGGGCAGATATGTATTTCTTCACAGATTCTCTTCTCCACTGCAGTATCGCTGCTGGTGTGGGATGCTAATGGCTGTAACTCATAGTGCTCATGTTCTCCTTCTACATCTGCTTTCTGAGGTCTTGAATCAAACTGGTATTTATTGACAGACTGAGTTTTAGTTTGTTCTCCATCTCTTTGGCCTCCTGACAATGCCTGGGAGATAGCACCACACCGTAGTCTTTTGGGCAGAGGAATCTGGCCAAATGTTCCTTGGGGTCCCAGGCAACGGCACATACACTGGAAAAAGAAAGTTGCAAATGCCCAACTAATGCACATTATGAGCATCATAAAGGTGCCAAGCTGTGTATAGGCTAAAACCGTAGAAGGCATCATCATTGCTCCAGCTACAAATGTAGTCAATGCAGCCATAGCAATTGCTGAGCCCATGTGGCTTAGAGAAAAAATAACTTTCCCTTCTCGATCAGGATCTGGAGCCAAGCGGTAAGCAACGCCATAGTGGACAGCAAAGTCCACAGATAAGCCAACTGCCACAGAAATAGTAACAGACTCCAAGACGTTTAGCTCCCAACCCAGCAGAACCAGGGATCCAACTGTGACAAAAATAGTTCCTGCTATTGAGACTATTGCATAGAGACTTATTATTATATTCCATGTGGTAAGCAGCATTACACTGAATGCAACAGTGACAGAAAGACCCATGGCAATTAAAGTACCGTCAGAGAGACTATCTTGGAGATCATAAAATTCTAGATTACTCACAAACCAGCCACTACTTAAACCTTCTGGAGCAGAAACGAGTTCCTCTGAAATCCAGGTGTCTACTTCCTGATAGAATTTATGCATCTTCTCATATGCCAAGGTGAAAAGGTAGGTGCTTTGGAACTCTAGTACCACTGCTCTGATGGTATCATTTATATCAAAGCGAGGGCCAGGAGTTTTGCTATCCAAATGATAGCCTGTGCTTCTTTCAAGTTCCATGATGGCCCTCTTGATGCATAACTCAAAGACCTCCTGCTTGTAGGGGAAGCTCAAGTGGCTACAGCAGGGATAAAGAGCTGGCTCATCACAGTCTTGATTTTCCATCCACTGCTTAAATGTCTCAATAAAGCAGCTCGTGAAATCTTGCTCTTCTGTTTGGTAATAAAATGTCTGATTCCTCAGTTTCTGACAAAACTTTAAAATCCAGAGCTGTGAATCTGGGCTTGCAATATTGAAAGTGCTGTCTAGCTTCAGCTTGCCTTTGCTTTTAGGATTTAAGGGATCCCCGTTATCCTCAGGAGAGACCCCCCAGATTATAGTGATGGGCATGTGAAGCTCCTCTCCATGATGGACCCGTTCAAACATGAAAAGCTTCTTGAATTCAGCATCATAGCGCTCAAAAGGATGGGAAGACCGGAACACCTGAAACTCAGCTAGTTCCAAGGAGGGTAGCTTCATCTTTGGATTTACACACACTATATATGCTCCCCCAACTGTTAAGGCTAGGAACCAGACCAACCAAATATATCGAAATTTTATCACAATGCATGGCAACACTTTTTCAAAAAATATCCTAGATGCTTCTGAGATAGCAAAAAATACTTTACGGACCACTTGGCCCAGCACTGTCCAGCAGCTTTTGTTACTGTAAACTCTTGCTTGTGGCTTTACAAAACAACTAAAAATATTGAGGAGATACCGTTCATGTAAGACCACAACTGCGGGCAACCATGTCACCATTAGGATATAATTCACTAAAATGGCAGTGCCAGCATAAACACCAAAACACCTGATTGCTGTAATATTGCTGACATAATTAGCATAGAAGGCAGCAGCAGTAGTAAAACTAGTAACAAACATGGAAAGAGCCGCATGTTGCAAAGTGATGCTCATGGTTTCTGAAGTGGCAGCATGAGACTTGTCAAATTTTGTGTAGCTCCACACATCACACAAGACAAAAGCATCATCAGCTCCAATACCCACAAGAATAATCAGTGCAGTGAGGTTCATAAAGGGGAAAAACTCAAAATTAAATACAACCCGATAAAGAAAGTAAGAAACAATTAAGGAACTGATGATTGCAAACATGGTCATCAGTGTGATAAACAAGGACTTGGTATACAAGCACATCACTAACAGAACAATCACTATGGCTATAGCAGGATACACAGTATCCATTAATAGATAGTCCTGGAATAAGCTGTGCTTTATTCCAAACTCAATCCCTGTGATGATGGTGATTCCATCAGACGAGTTCCAGTTCTCAAAATTATCTAAATAGATATTCATCATACTGTCTCCCTTTTCAGTAGGTAGAAAAAGCATACTATATTTTAAAGCTGGTAAGCCATGATCCAAGGTCTTTGGGCTTAGAAAATCTTTGTCCACTATGTAGTGAAGTATCTGGTAAACAGCATTGTACTTGGTACATTTGCGTGGCACATTTGTACACTTGAGCTGGTCTTTTCTTCTTGCTGCCGTATCCCAACAATCTGGCCCCAGGGTCCCATTATAATAATATTTGGCACATGTGCGGAGCAGCTTCAGAGTATGAGAAACATCTCTCTCCACTATTTTTTGACATGATGATCTGTTATTTAAAATGGCAATATAATTGCCTAATGTCCAGCTGGGACAGCATGAAGCAGCAGTGGCCCTCTGGCAGAGATCCCCAAACTGAGCATGGGATCGTATCTGTGGGAAGAAGAAAACTGAGAGTTATAACTGAATACCAATGATAAATGACCATGCTGGCTCAGGAATTCTAGGAGTTGAAGTCTACGAATCATAAAAGAGCCAATGTTACCTACCCCTGCCCTAGACCAACTGTAGTTTCTGAATGGTCTTTAAGGCAGCCCCATGTAGAGTACGTTGCAATATTCCAAACAGGAAATAATCAAGTTAGGGAACAATCATCAGCAAGGCATCACAATCCAGGAATGGGTGCAATTGGCACACAAGATGAAGTTGTGCAAAGGCCCTATTGGCCATGACTCCTCCATCCTCAAGGAAAAGCTGCATACCAGTTTTGTCTGGGGGACTGAAACCCTATCCATTGTGGAAGGGTGGAAGTTGCCAGATCTAAACACCTACACCACCAAGCCAATACTGATATAGTCTGTGTACTTCCCAAAATGACTAGCAGTTTTATTTATATTGATTGAATTATACATCTGCTTAAGCATTTCTAAGCCAAGTGTATTTCAATAAGTTCACTGTAAAACTGGCTTCTCAAATGCAGCTCTTTTATAGCACGTGCATACATACATAAGCAGGATTTAGACTAACATTGCCTGGATATTATAACAGAATTAATATGGCCTTATTATTCTTAAATAAATTTAGAACAAGAAATCACCTCACATTCCAAGAAGAAAAGGATAAATTACTTTTGATTGTTTCCAGATAAAAATATCAATTAAGCTTAGCAGGAAAATATGAGCTATCTAATAAAAACAAAGTACTGGAATACTATATTCCTATTTTTCATGGCAGAGTTCAGATTTATAAGGAAAATGCAGCATGTAAGCCCTGTAGGGTCACCTAGACAACAGAGGAAAAGAAGATTATGTGCTTCAATTATTCAAGTTCAGGTTGAGATGATGCTTTATCTACTGCTGCTAAAGTCACCTGAAGATAAAAATGGATTAGCTGCTCATACTTGGAAGATCAGGCTTAGCCTGGAACTTATCAAATGCCTTCTAAAAACAGTCTTTAGAAAAGATGGCCAGGGTCTATTTTATTGCTTGATCAAAAAGGCATTTGTACAAGCTGGGTTAGAAGTATCAGCAGGATGTTTTCCACTTGTCTGGGAACTTCTAAAGAAAACACAGCACTTCTATTATTTGGAAATGTTTTTCAGATTTCTTATTCATACCACATGGATTTGCTTAGCAAAGAAAACTTGTGTACTGCAGAGAGTTTTGAGGGTACTGTAAATCTAGAGCACATATTCCTCTCATATGTGAATTATGCACGGATGTCTCCAAAGATCCTCTCAATATTTTCCTATAAAGGAATCAGAAGAGAAGATTCATAATGGCAGATTGCCTGTCTTTCTAGAAGACTTTTATCTATCACTTACTCTGGTGCCCTTTGGACTAGGCTCCTGTTATCCCTAACCTGAAAAAAAAATTGAACTGGATAGGGTGTTTTAAGTATTAGGTAATATTCAATTCCTAATTAGCCATACCATATATGATACTACTGTTAAGCCTATGTGGGTGTCATATGTGAATCAGTTACAGGCTACAAGCCTTGGAACAAGAAAATCAGAGTTGATACAGCATGCCCAAGACAATTTGTTGCTTAAGTATTTATTAGTTAATAAATTACTTAGCTTTTCTCTCTCTCTCTTATGGTCATGTTGGGAATGCATAATCAAAATTCCCTTTAATAGAGGAAAGAGCAAAACCCTTAAAGTAGACTTAAAGTTGAAACCAGTCAAACCATTACAGCAGTTCAACTTGCTTTGACTGGAACAGATAGCAGTGGCTTCAGTGCAAAATAACTCAAGCCTCCATGGAGTGTAGAATGTGCGATGGAAGGAGATATGGACTCCAGCCAAGAAGACTCTCTTCTAATAAAGATTAAAGATTAACGAAGATGTACATTTCTCATTATTATACAAAAGGCAGCAGTTTAAAAAAATCAGAGGTTTGCAGCTTAGCCCAGCAATTTTCTAAACATAACTCCAGTCAAAAGAGACCATAACACCTTGATATGATTTAAACACTACAGAAAAGGTAATAAATAAAATGAAGTGAGTCTCTTGGAACCATTTTTTTTTAAAAAAAGGAAGTCGTGTATCTTCATATTTGGGCAATGCTCCATCTTTACACAGAGATGAATCATCTTAACAGCTGTTACCTGGCATAAAAATATTCCATTTATTTTAAGAGTAATTCAGTTTCCAGACCTTTCTGGAAACTTTATTAAAAATCACATTAACAACCAATATTTTTAATTTTTTCTAAAGTGATTATCTATGGTATAATAGATATTACTATAATAAAAGATGGAATATGAAATATCTTGTTTCAAAAGTAGAATGTTAAGAAGGAGCTGAGAATATTTTAATAACATTTCAATTAACTTACACTGCGATCAATCTGTGATAAAAGAATTAACTGAACATAGCCAACCCATCTGTGAACTCATGGATGGTTATGCAAAATCTGGGACAAATAAAAATTACATCTCTTACTCACTGATTCCTGCATCTAGACCAGTGTTTCTCAACCTTGACAATTTTAAGGCATGTGGACTTCAACTCCCAGAATTCCACAGCCAGCATTGCTGGCTGTGGAATTCTGGGAGTTGAAGTCCAAATGCCTTAAAATTGTCAAGGTTGAGAAACACTGATCTAGACCCATGAAACTAAATATTAATCACCTCTCCAACATCTTAACTGGCTTCACTTCTTGCGCTGTCAACACTGGATACAATAATACATAATCATCTTTTTTCTCTTCCCCACAAATTCTGCCATCACTATATTCTAAACTGCTTGCTGAGAATGAGCAGACAGGGGCTCCTTGTCGAAGAATACCAGTCACTGTGCTCCCAAGGAGTGACAGACTCAGATATCATTCCAAATACATACACATGAACGCCGGTCTTTCATTTTGACATAGATCCTGCATCAGTTAAGGCCATTAGTTAAAACCAGACCTCAGTCTCAGCTATGGGCAAAGTTAACATCTACCACATGGCAGAAGAACTCATGAAACCCCTGAAGCAGCCTGTTACTTTTTATGTTCTGGTTTCTTAGGGACATTTTTTAAAAAGTTGCAACTATTTGGATGATGGAAAACATTTTCTCCTGCTCAGAACTAATTAATCAAGACCAGACTGTCTTTTTTCATCTCTGGGTGCAAAGAAAACTTTCCTTTCTCAGAGCATGGATGCATATTTGTGTATGCACATCAATTACAATACATGTGTTTGAGTTCCTATTACCAATCATTTAAATGTAGCCAATCAGCAAGAGAATCACGCTGAATTATGCAGATGAACTATTTTAAAAGGCAAAGAAGTGCTTTCTGGCTAAGCTTTGGAGAAGAGACGATGAGGTGGAGAGGAGCGAAGTTCTGCTTTGAAAATCTGAGCTAATTCTCGTTCCTATATCAGCATTGTCCCAAACAAACTCTGAAGAACCTATCCCAAAAGAAACGGATGGCACTGCTGGGGCTGAAAGGAGTGTGCAAAGAAATATCAGGCAGTAGCATTACATGCTTGCCAACAGCTTACTCTGCAACATGTCAGCAGCTGAGTAATGATAAAGACCAGACATCAACATTTTAAATGTACATTCCACTACATTAAAGTTAATACTTTTGCCTACCTGCATATTTTCCACACTGCACATTGACTTTATGGCTGGTAAATTCCACAAGTCATCTCCACTTGCTGATGTAAATACCACTCGGGAGTAACGATCACCTGAAATTGAGGTTAATCTATTGTGAAGATCACAGGACTCTGAAATTAACGGAACTCAATACAACAGGACAGATAGAAGAGGACCTCCGAGTAATAACCAATTTTTAGCCTAATGTAGCTTGTAGGATTATATGAAACTAAAATGGAAAGGAAGCATCATGATTTCCTCCCCCACACATAAAAATATCTTTCTAAAACATTCTCTGTATTTTGACAAGAGAATGAATGCATATAAATGCAATAGTAGCTAAATTTAAATATATCGTTTTTATTAGGGCTATTTTTAGAAAAAATGAATAAATCTCCTGTTTATTTCTAATAACCATGAGTAATGTTGCTTCTTCCAGTCTAAATATTATAAAAGAAAGTGGAAATTTATTATTTTTGTCCACTTATGATTAAAAAAAAAAGGAACGGTAAAAGATCTTAGGGGTGGCAGAGGTCATTTAGATCAATCCCCTGCTTGGTGCAGAGTTCCAAATTAAAGTATCCTCAGCAGACGGTTGCCAGTACACTAATGGTATCAGACAATCTTAATACTGAAATGCATTTGGCTTTGTCCATAGAGGCCAGTGTTTTGTTTTGTTTTTTCTCAGACAGAAAAGACCCATTCCTGGGAAAGGAAAAATTGCAAATAAAGAGATTTATTCAGTCAAATGTAAAACCAATTTTATTTTACAGCTGAAATATTAATCAACTCACTTGGAATCTCACAGAAAAAGCTGTCCTTCTGGAAATTCCAGTCAGCCTCCCTCTTCTCTCTTTCATAGTGATCATCAGACCGTCGGCCATCTCGATGACTGTCGAGAACAATTTTTAAAAGTGATGATAAATTTCAAGTAGTCATTTTTATTCCAACACTACGTAGATTTAAAAAGTACTAAATTAGAGAAAAGCAACCAAACAAAATGCAGACTGAGGAGTTCTGGAAAGCTGACACACTGGAGCTGGTTGCAGGTTGCATTCAAACTTACAATAAAATGCAATGAGTAGCTACTTGACTACTATAAAATATCAAAGAAAAAATTGGCAATTACATGAGAAACACAGAAGCATTACAAAATGGCAAAAACAGAGCACAGAAGGATTAATGGCAATTCTAATGACAGCCACACTTAAAAATTATGATAACACATAATCACCCAATCACAGAAAAAAGTCACAAAGTCTGTAGGCTTGTGCGACCTAATTTTTTACTAGGGTTGTGCAATGCTTCAGATTTGAACACTAACACAGAATCCCCTGAAATATAATCTTGCCTGTTTTCAGGATCAGACAGTTGCTTTAATTAATCAGAAACAGATGCTGCACTTTTGCTTCTGCACCTTCCAAAGCATTTCTTCTGCAACATCCTATTAGTAACTTACAAATAAAAGAGCCAGATGTAAAATGCAAATTCTGTTTATTTGGGGGGGGGGGCAGGCAGGAAATAATATGTATTAAATATTTGTTATTCAAACACTTGGGAGGAGTGGTTGTTTCAATAAGTGGCACCTAGCACCAATAGCCGATAATCTGATTGAAAGCCTTTACCTCTTAGCCTGCTCATCTGCATATTTGAATGGATAGTTTGCTAAAGTCGCTTTGTAGCCTGTGTTTTTCACCATGTTATTCCAAGTGACCAGTCTCTGCCCAATAGCAGTTCCTCTTGGTTCAAAACCCTGCAGCAGAACATTTATGACTTTTTTAATGCATGCCATTCTTTCGCTGAACAGGCAGAGATAAATTAAAATGGAAGAATTTTATTAAAAATACTTTTCTATAGATAACACTTAAACATTTAAGTTGGTTCATATTCTGATGACAGAGTGACACGAGTTGAAACACAGCCTTCCACTGCTTGACATAGCCAGCATCCCAGTGTCACTATGCAATTCCAATTCCCAAGAGCCAGTGGCACCAAACGAAGAGAGGAGACATAACTGAACACAAGTAAAAAACATTAAGACAGTAATATCAGGACAGAGCAATTTATGCTATATATTAACTGTTTTCAGATAAACATGACAAGCTGTCTTCTTAGAAAGTGGAAAATATATGGCTAACTACATCTTCCAAATAACATGGCTTGCAAATAATAAACAACTTGTTTCTAGTTTACTGAGTCACCCAACACAATATATAGAAGACTTCTGACTAACAGTGTCACCAAAACAATCCATAGGAATTGCTTTCTAGTCTGATGTATCTGGGAAGCTCTAATGGATCACACCAAAGGCCTATTTAGTTGAATATCTTGTTTCCCACAGTGACATCCAAATTTTAATTAGCAGGACCTGAACATAATAGCCTCCTTCTGCTGTTGTTCAGCAGAAACTGGTTCTAAAGTTTGCATGTATTCATTATGACTAATCAATTGACTGTTAGCACATCTTGCTGCACTAAAACCTGTAGTTTATATCTCATATAAAACAGTTCTTTTATTTGCTCTGCATTTCCTATCATTCAGTTTTATTACATAACAGTGAACTATTATAACAGGAAAGAAAATTCTTTCCTCCCCCCCCCCCATATTGTATATAGCCATGTTCACAGCTAGCACGTCACCTGCTACTCTTAAATATCCTTAAACATGAAAATAAAGTATAACTCTTTTCTTACATTGAAATATCTCAGTCCTCTGATTTGCAGGGGGAACCATCATGCATAGAGTATATGCATGAAGTCTACTCCATGTGCTAAGAGTTTGCTTCAGATGGGTTCCAGCTACAGCAGGGCGTCAAACTGGGGTGGGTGCATCATCCGGAAGCTGCACCCACCCCATTGCCGGCAATGGCAAAACTGTGTCGATATGTTGTGCGACGACATGTGACGTCGTGAGTTCGACATGTCTGAGCTACAGGAAAGCCTCTGCTGAATAAGCAAAACCCTTCCTTGGTAAACTCTTGTGATAGCATCCATTAACGTTTGGGTGAAAAGCCAAATCAGACATACAATATTGTAGGCAGAACTGTTCACCATTCACATAATTCCTGAATAGAACAACTATTATTTAAATTAATTTTCTATTTATTAAGTTACTATTTAAGCTAGCTGATGTTGCTGTACTGTATTGTGCTGAGGTACAGTATTTCTATTGTAAATAAGCTGAAATCACTCTTAGAGGTCTTGCTGGAAAAGGATTCTTCTCAGGTTTGTTCTCTAAGAAAAGATTCAACAGCTACACCCATATAGCTGAAGACATCTGGCTTCAAGTACCTTATAAATATTCAGATGTGGGGGTCTGGATTTGGACACATCTGCATTTGAAAGCAGTACAATATGTTAACCAATAATTTACTACAGCTCTCTGTTTATCATTATTTCGGGGGGTGGGAATTGGAGGATGTGCCAACACAATGCTTTGACAGCAGAAGACAGTAAAGTTTACTCACCAATAAAGGATCAGAGAAGTCTGGAAGGTCCGGGACTAGAATTCCAACCAATGCACACACCACAATTAACACAGTGCACATGCCTAAAACCACCACAGGCCAGTCTGCTATCAGAGCTGCATAGCTAGAAAAAAATGGAAAACAAATGTGAATAGGAGAAAGGTACCAGTAGAGAAAAAGAAATTGGGAGACAGGGTTAATTTTTTCTTTTTCTTTCTTTTAATGACTAAGATGGTTTTAAGAATGTCACCATTGTCTTTGTTTAAAGAGGACTGAATTGTGCTAGTCTTCAAACTGGAAAGTACACAACTTTGTGGCGAGTGGTATTTCCAATATTACTTTCCAATCAATAAAAAACAGATCTGCCACCCATTTCTTTCCACTTCAGCATTTCTTCATGCAAGAATGTTTAGAACAGTTGATACAGATTTGTCCTTCAGGTATAATGAAAAAGAATATATTAATTTTTCTCTCCTTTCTTTTCTATTTCAGATCTATTCACTATTTGTCTGGCTTGAAGGATACTAATGGTAATTGCTATATATTTAATTTGAATCATTTGGCACCTGTGATTCAGAAAAGCCATGCCATTTCAAATGCAAGCACTCTATTAGATTAAAAACATGCTATTGATTTTTTCATTTTTACCCCTAGTCCATATATTTGCTCTGGTCAGAATGTTTCCAAATTCATCTTCTTAAACACTATGCAATATTAAAGCAAGAGGTCATCATTTCTGCAAAAGTTATAATGAATTTTACAAAATTAAGATACACAATGTTAATTTAGGGTTCAATGAAAACTATGGATACATTCTAAAACAAAACAGCATGTCACCCTTCTGCATTGGTTGTGTTATGTCCAGTTTTCAGTCGACAAATTGAAGAACACCAGCAAACTGAAACTTATCAGTAGCTTAACTGACAATGTGTTTGTTATCTCAAAAGCTTGTTAAGTATCTACTGGAAATTAGAGAGGTAAAAATGATTGTATCCAGTTAGTTTTTTCCAGAAGAGTATAAAAATCCTTTGGAAGAAAAGAAGAGCCCCTGAAGAAGAACCATCTTGGATCATTCTAGGGCAGCGGTTCTCAACGTTTGTGTGACGGCGACCCCCGTCACACAAACGTTATGTGCATGCGCGGTGCGCATGCGCGGTGCCACCCCCGGAGGCGCAGCGCCACCCCATGTGCAGCGCGCATGTGCTGCGCCGCCCCGGAGGCGCGCCGCTGCCCCCATGCGCAGCGCGCATGTGCGGCGCCGCCCCCAGAGGGGAGAAAATGGCGGATCGGCGCCTTTGGCGACCCCGAAAAATGGTCGATCGACCCCAAATGGGGTCGCGACCCATAGGTTGAGAACCGCTGTTCTAGGGCTTCAAGGTCCATTGCTCTAGAGCAGGGGTGTCAAACTCAATTTCATTGAGGGCCGCATCAGCACTGCAGTTGTCCTCAAGGGGCCAGATAGGTGTGGCCAGGGTGGGCGCGGCCTACTGGGTGGACATGGCTGGAGTGGGTGTGGCCTACTGGGTGGGCATGGCCAGCTCTACATCGTTTGTGTCAAAAGTGACTGTGGGGGCCTGGGCAGGAGTGGGACAGATCTGAGGGTCTCTGGCAGAAGGGGGTGGGACCAGGGCAAGCACCAAGGCATGGTCCGCTGTTCCTCTCAGGCCATGCGAGGGGGGGTGGATGGTGCCATGGGCTTCCCGGAGCCCTGGGCACAGAGGTCAAATGCCTAGCGTGGCCTTCAAGCACTCACGGACCAAGCCCAGCCCCACTACCCAAGGGGGTGCCCAGCTGCACTTACCTCCTCAAGGCTGCTGCTGCTGTGCTTGCTCTCCTTAGCCAGGTTGCTCATGATGGATACGAAGGCAAAGTCAGAGGGAGGCCCACTCCTTCTCCATTGGAGGAGACCTGGCTTTGTATCCAAAGCTTCCTTAGCAATAGGATGGGAGACCCCCAGGATAGGCCAGGAGGAGGGGCAAGGGGATGGTGAAAGGGCAGCAGGGCAGGACTAAGGCAAGACTTTCCTCAGACCCTCCCTCTCCTTCCTTCCTTCCTTCCTTCCTTCCTTCCTTCCTTCCTTCCTTCCTTCCTTCCTTCCTTCCTTCCTTCCTTCCTTCCTTCCTAAGAACAGAGTGGTGGGAAAATATTTGAGATGAGGGAGGGAGAAAAACAGGCAGGAAATGCAGCTGGGGAGGTGTCACCCTTTGTGAGGAATGAAGAAATGCACCATTGCCTGGAAGTGGCCAGCACATGGCCCTTGCCTACTTCACATGTCTGGCTTGGTGGGCTTTGGGGGAGGGGATGCCACGAGCAACATGAGAGTCAACGTTACCTGCACAATGCCATCCAGCCCCCAGCCCGCCTGGTTTCGGCAGGCAGCGAGGCACTCTCCTCATAGAGCCGAGAGGCTGAGCCAGGCAGCGCGAATCCAAAAATAAGCGCAACGCCACCAAGCCCCCAGCCTGCCCGGTTTCGGCAGGCAACAGGGTGCTCTCCTCACAGCGCCGAGAGGCTGAGCTGGGCAGTGCGAAACTTGCCAGCTTTTCACCTTGCTGCCTGCTGAAATCATGCAGGCTGGGAGCTGAGCGGCGATGCGCTTATTTTTGAATTTGCCCCACTGCCTGCCAAAACCTCTCCCCTGAAGCCCATCAAGCCAGATATGTGAAGTAGGCGAGGGCCATTTGCTGGCCACTTCCAGGCAATGGTGCATTTCTTCATTCCACACAAAGGGTGACACCTCCCCAGCGTGTGGCCAGGGGGCAGGGCCAACGTGGCAGGGACCTGTCCTTGCTGTTTCCAGATGGCCTTGTGGAGCTAAGACTGAATGTGTTTCAGCATAGATGGCACCACAAAAGTGTACATTGACTCCTGGGCGGCCTGGGCCGGGGCCATTCCCTCATTGTTTCCAGGATAGCTTTGCGGGCCACATGAAACCATGTCGCGGGCCACATCTGGCCCCCGGACCTTGTGTTTGACATGTTTGCTCTAGAGAACTATTCCTGTTTCTCTTGGGATATGAAATCAAGAGAAAGGTGAAGGGACCCTATTTATTTATTTTGCAAATTTATGCACCACCCAAATCTGGATGATTCTGGATGACTTTAAGGGGGGGGGGAAGCCTGAAGAGATCCAGGCCAGATTGTTAAGCTCTATTTTACAAAAAAGGACATCTATTTATCTGAACTGAATCCAAGAATATTTGAGCTGCTAATCAAAATGTTTTCCAATTGTCAGAAGACTTTGTGAAAAAAAAAGGAGGGGCAGGATGTCAACTCAAGTAGGAAGGGGATGCTTCTGAGGTTTCATACGTGAACCTTAACGTGGGAATTGGCTCCAATGCACACCAGCTGCCTGGCAGCAAAAGGGTATCCCAGCTGCCTCTGGATTTCCAGTGGTCTGGAAGCACAAAGAAAGCATAGAGCTAATTCACAGGGGCCACCTGTTCTAAATAAAATGAAACTTTCTTTATCCCTTCCGTTCAGATGACATCACCAATAATTTTTAATGCTGATAAGTGCATGAAAAAAACCAAAAGAAATACATTAACTGGAAATGGGCTCTTACCTTTTTGGCAACGTTACCGCTCTGGCTGGCCTGAAAATTAAACACAAACTTATTTTAGAGGGAGAAGTTCTGCCAGCACTCAAGTTTTCTCTTCCTGCCTACTTATTTAGATCAGCATTTTCCAATTTTCAAATGTTTGGGATAACTTTCATCATCTCCAGCCAGAACACTCACGTTTTTCCTTCTTTTCTGAGGGAAGAAAATTACACAGAATTCTTGATCAGTTGCTCTGTGAGGCACATCTATCCAACTCTTAATTATGCCTTGAAATACTGTTCCTAATTGCTGTGCCTTCCTTTCATTCGGTTTATTAACATATTTTGCACACACGTAGGCACATTTAATTCAGTGGTTAAGTGCCTAATGTTTTTAAAAAAACCTGAGAATGTGTTCTGACCAATTTGCTCCAAATAAAGGAGGCGGGGGAGAGATCCCACTCTTTTTGTTTTTTTTTTAAAAAAAGATAGTCTTGCTTTCCAAAATCTGCTTAGATGACAGAACCTCTAAAGAAAAGCTGCAAGCCTTTTAACATTATCAAATAAATGGAAACAATGAATATAATAAATTGAGTCATTTCTTCAGAAGGAACACAGTCTTTAAGAGATGACTGGCTTTTAACACCACTTCTCGACAGTCCTAATTTTTTCAAGAAAAAGATCTTCTAGTGGTGTGCTGAATGGTGGGGCATATTTTTTTTCTCCCAAAACTGATTTTGCTGCCAAGGCTGGTTCTTTGGCAGCGTGCTCCCCAGATTTGAATGGGAGTATAAAGTTAATGAATCTATGGAGATTTTCAGTCATCCAGGTCATGGCTGTCCCAAAGGTGCTTTTTCAAAAGGCAACTGGACTTCCTTTTTTTTTTCTTTGAAGATTTTCGTTTCTCATCCAAGAAGCTTCTTCAGCTCTGACTGGATGGTGGGGACCTGATGGTTCTTCAGCTCTTCATAAACTCACCACAACCATTGTTTCTGGAAGAAAGTCCAGTTGCCTCTTGAAAAAGAAGAAAGTCCAACTGCCTCTTGAAAAAGCACCTTTCCTTTAATGACTCTCAGACTACTATGTACTTGCCTGGAGAGAGAAATCGGAAAGATTTCAGTTCTAGGCAAGAGCGGCTGGAGTGGTCGGGTCTCCATCTTTTCCTGCAGCTGCTTGTATTTTTAAGTGCACTTTCTCTTTTTAACATCATTTTTGATGGCTAGCCTGGTTGGATATTAACTTGCCTTATATCCTTTTGCTTGCATACAATCGTAAACTTTAATTGTTTTATTTCGGTGCTTCAAAATACTTTCTCTTTCGCTGCAGAGAGGGCGTGAGGGTTCTTTTTCTTTGTAGTAAACGTGATTCAATCAGATTTATGCTGGATTTTTTACCTTAAGGATTTTGTATTTGATTAGTTTTCCTAAAAGAACTCTGTTGCTTCGCTTTATTTATTTATTTATTTTCTCCCTCCACACTGTTGTTGGAATTTTTAATCTCAATTTCTTTGTGCCTCCTTATAGAGTACCCATGTTCTTTGCCCTCGATAGGGAATTGCTTATACTTTGCTATGAAAACTTGACTAAGAGAGCAAAGCAACAATATGTTAAAGAACTTTGAAAATCATATATTCTTTATGTCCCCAAAAGAGATATAAAGGAGAGTTGGGACTCACACGTTTTAACATTAAAGCCTTCTTTAATGTGGATACTTTTGAAAAGTGGAAACTTTTGAAAAAACAATGTTTGCCAAGTTATAAGTTTTAAATGAAAAACTGAATAAATGTTTGATGAATTTGTAATAATCATAAATCAGCCTGAAGAAGACTTCAAGACACAGGCAACAGTAGCTAAATTAGCTATGCAGTTGGATGGACTGAAAGTTAATTTGCTGCTAACAGATTTAAAAGAAAAGAAGCTTTGTTTGAAAACTGATATTTGTTAGAGGAGGTTGGAAGGGGCATTAATGAACTTGACTTTCTCAGAAAAGTTCACGATGGAGTTTGTGGAATGGAGACATCATAAGCAATTAGAGGATGGCTGTCAAGATACTGTATATTGGGTTCCAATTTGTGGGAAGATTTATTGAACAAGTATTATGGAGGTGTTCTCAATGAAGATCTTTTTTTTTTTTGGAGAGTGAGAAGCAGTTGTTTGGAACAATTCCATCATAATCATAAAGAAAAGCAATGCTGATAAACTGGGAGTTATTTTTATGATCAAGAATTAATCAATGTTATTTGTTCCTGAATGGATCAGAAAAAATGATTATAGTGAGTTTATGAGAGAATAGAAGCTGCTTGTAGACCTTCTGTGAGTTAAATGTGACAACAGATTGTTAACAGAGGGCTCTGAGGTTTAGCTTTGTGGTTGGAACTGCCTGTTAACTGGATTTTTTTTTTTAGTAGATAGATGGTAGGTCAAATTGGTTAATTGATAATAGATTTCTACAATTGTGATATTTTAATGTTATATAGCAGTGGTGGCGAACCTATGGCATGTGTGCCAGAGGCGGAACTCAGAGCCCTCTCTGTGGGCACGCGTGCTGTCACTCCATTCTTAGGCCTTCAGCTGGGTTTTATAAAAGCTTTTTGCTTTAGGCCTCCGCCACCGTGTGCAAAAAAAAAAAAGGTTCAATCAATCAATTTCAACTTCTCGCAGGAAAAAAAAGATCTCGCAAAGTTGGAATTGATTGATTGAACTTTTTAGTCCCACCCAGTCTGCCATTACCATCGCAGCCACACCCACCCAATGGGCCACGCCCACCCGGTACCCGACAATATATGTGGGTTTTGGGTTGCAGTTTGGGCACTCGGTCTCTAAAAGGTTCACCATCACTATTATATAGCAATTTTGCAAATATAGATGTACAAATTTATAGATTGTGGATCTGTTTTGGGGAGAGGGGAACAATTCTTGTCACTGAAACTATATTTATCAGTGTTCAACCAGGGGAAACTTTTGTGTGTATGCTTGAATTTTTGGTTTATGCACTTTTTTCTGTTTTTATATTGTATTTTTTCTTTTTTCTTCATCCTGTATTTTAACCTTGGAAATAAATAAAAATGTATGCCAAAAAAGAAAAAGATCATCTAAATAGTCTTTATTTCTAATTTAGAAATATTATAACTAGTTCATTGTGAGGTGGGCAGGAAAAAGTTCATCAAAATATATCTATATCTTAATAGGAATGCTGGATGCTGATAATAGATAATAGCTAATATTAAGCTTGGCTGTGTAATGTAACCTAAATAATATAACCTGTGTGTCATCATTATAAAGATGTGTTCATGCTATGTAGAAACCATTTTACAAGAAGTGTCAGTGTCAACTGAAAGTCACAGATGTTGTAAGATAGCACCCGTGTAGAGAGGTGGTAAGACAACCGTTTGTGTGAACTTCTCCTTTTTACTTATGTAGCTTCAAGATACAAACTTCTCTGTTTTAGTGTGTCAAAGGTAGATAAGAGCCACCCTAAGGCTAAGGTGTGGGTGGTTAATGCTATAAGAATTACTCCCTGAGAGTAGCTCGGGGTTCAGAATTTGTCATGCGAATGCTCTGAACCATTGTGCACAAATAAAAAACCTGTTTTCTCCAGTCCCTTCGTGGTCTTGTCTTCTGATGTAAGTATTGTGGTTTTCCACAACAATTATCTGGTGACCGCGGCAGGACGGCAAGGAGTCTTGGGGCTCTCTGGAGGGCACACCCCAGTGCCAGGGGCCTGTAGTGAGGGGGGAACATCCCAGGCGCCATCGGGCCTTTTATTCCGAGGGACTTCCCTGTGACACAGGGCTCCAGGATCGGCGGTCGGCCACTCCAAGAACCACAGGTGAAGGGTAAGGAGACCAGGCAACTTTTCAGCCGGCTAGAGGACAAAGGATTCGCCTGCAGGCAAGTATTGAAAGAGAAATAAGGAATCCCTCCCTGTAAGCAGGGACAGAGGAGAGGACTGATCACCCTCTGTTTGGAATAAGGTGGGAGGATTGTTGTGTGTGTTTGCAGTGAGTGAGTGGCGCTCGAAATTCCCATCGGTGACCGTCGAGTTTCCGGCTCCCTGGGTCTAGCGCGTATAAGTGAAACCCTCAGTGTAATCCTGAGTGGAAGGACCCCTTACCTTCCTCTCATCCCCTTTCCTCATTTGTCTTGTCTGGTGCCCTGGGAGGCTCATGGGGAGTGGTGAAAGTGTACCCCTTACTCCATTGGGGTGTATGTTAAAGCATTTTAAGTCTGCTTATGAGGATCAGGATTATGGTATTAAGTGGAGCAGGCATAAGTTGAGGACCTTCTGTGAGGTAGATTGGCCCAACTTTAACATAGGCTGGCCAAGCACAGGGACACTAGATCCATCCATTACCCTAAAAGTACATCAGCTAGTGTTCCACCCCATGTTAGGGCACCCAGACCAGGCACCCTATATTGATGTGTGGCTCGGCTTGCTGCAAAGACCTCCACCATGGATCCAGAAATGCAAAACTGTCCCCTATGTTAAAAGTTTAGAAGATAGAAAAAGCTGGGGACAAGCCATAATCCAACCAGATGTCCAGGATCAAGGGACCCAAACTGGACCTTCAGCAAGAGGTGCTGAGGGGGTCCAAGGCAGAGGAGGAATGGACGGGACTGCAAACAGAAGACAGAGAAGTGGGAGGACTGATAGCCGAACAAACGAGGACAAAGACTGAGGAAGCATCTTTGAATGCTCCCCTTAGACAAGTAGATCAATTGGTTGTCAGTAAGGACGATCCAGCAGAAACAGCTACAGCTCCTTTATTCCAACATATGCTTTTACTACTTCGTATCTACTTGCTTGGAAATTTCATTATGGCCCATTTAGTGAAAAAACAAATGAAGTGGCAGACTTGGTAAAGACCATTGTGGACATCCACAACCCTACCTGGATGGATCTACAGCAACTTATGGGGACCTTGTTTAATCCAGAAGAAAGGGAAAAGATTAGGATGGAAGTGGCCCGAAAGACTTTTGTGAATAGAGAGAAGGAGGAGGAAAAGAAAAAGGATCAGAAAATGCAAAGGAAAGCTGAATTGCTGGCAGTTGCTAT